GGTTTACATTTTCACTCCACCTTTTCTTGATGTTAGGATGCACTGGAAAAACCACAATATTCAATCAAATATGATATAGTATAATAATGATAATTTAAAAATTAACAGATATCCTTAAACTATTTCACAAATTTGGACATATGTTAAAAATAATTTCCTATTATTATTAAAATTGTTATGAACTTCACTTCCTTTACAATGGATCCTTAACATATTCAATGTTCATTGTCATAGTCATAGTTTTTACGGGAATAAAAGCTATTTGTAGCTTTGTAAAAACTCATTTTCCCATTTCAATTTCTTTATGATTTTCCCCCTATTTTTCCCAGTGCATTGTCTGCCTTTTGTGGGGGCGACAAATCGTGCGCTAATTAACTCATTGACACTGTGCCCTCTTCGCCCCGCAGTGCATCCAATTCCCTGGGGGCAACGATTCCGAGTGGCGTCAGTGGAGGAATCGTGCGTAAAACTTGAGTACGCTCCACATTAAATGGCGCTAATTTCGTGGCATTCGACTTGAGCTGGAAGAGATGGAAATGGAGCTAGAGATGGAGCTGGAGATGGAGATGGAGCTGGGAGTCAGAGTCTGGTCTGCAGGGCGTGCCAATGCAATTAGCATTTGTGCAGCTGCAGAGGGCAGAAGGGTGTTAGGGTTGAAAACCAAACCAAACCAAACCAAACCGAGTCTTAAACTGATAAATAGCTGCTGCTGTTGCTGGTGCAATGGCTTCAAAGTTTGTTTTCCTTTGGCCAAGGCCCAGACCCGAAAGCAGTTTTTGTTTGCTGCTCGCTCTCGGCTTACAAAACAAACCCAAATGCCAGCAAATAAAACGGTTTTCTTCCAGGAAACGTGACAAAACGTCAATAACCAATCGCCAGTGGTGTGTGAGTGCACAACTCTCCTATACGTACATATGTACTATATATATACTAGTGACTGCGACTACGACGATTCTGATCATGATCATGATCATGATTGCGATAATTATGATCATGACGACGTCGGCTGCATGTGACAAATCGCAGTTTGTTTGTTTACGTTGCTGCATATGCAAAATGCGAAGGCAAAATGCAAAATGCAAAATGCAATTACTTAAGGGCCTCCTGCACCGAGTGTAATCTAAGATCCCGGACCCATAACCAGCATCCCAGCATCCAGCATCCAGGGTCCAGAACTCAGAGGTTCAACTGCAGTCGTCAGCGTAAAAGTTCTGGGAATGCAGCCATCGAAGTGAATGCCGCAGACGTCATTCCAGGAACTATTGGGGTCTCGTAGGGCAATGATCTTGGTGGTTATATACCAATGCTATATGCTCGAATGCCAAGGATAACATAGGGTTTTTTAGTGGGAGAAACTATAGTCACATACTATCAAGTTAGCATAGGTTTAACAAGGAATTAAGCAACAGTTCTTTAACATTTGTTCCATAATCATTATTCCGCAAGTCTGTAAAAGGAGGAACATGTTTGTTTAAGTCCTGCTTTTAAAGGGGCAAGGAGAAGATCATTAGGATAAGAAATTAGTTATAGTTCCACCAAATTTAGTCCTTCGTTGCGTTTTAAGCTTATGACTGAAATTATAATACCCTATAAGGTTATTTCTGGTGGTAATCTGTATCCATTTACTTAAAGCTCTCTTAAAGTCGTCTAAAAGCCATCTTAAAATGAAATTCTTGGTCGCATAAATATAAAATTTCCACACCCCCCGAGAGAGGAAGAGTGAAAGTAGAATATTTGAGAAAGTAAAACCATTTACGGTTCAGACTCGATAAATATGCCACAGCAAATGGCTTTTGATTATCATAGGAGATCGATAAGCCGCGATTTATGCTTATCAACTGGCAACGCCCACCGAGCCCTCGGAATTGCTTAGATATATATACAAAGATACAGATAGATATATTCATAGATCAATAACTCAAATAGCCAATGAAGGCGATGGAGATCATGCTGATGGAATGACAAAATCGGAGTTTGGAACAACCGCGTCTACTATATATATCCATATATCGCCATGCGTATACACCTAGCGATCGTAAAATCTTGTTCGTCTTTCTTCATTTATTTTGTATATTTTTTGTTGGACTTCGCTTCGTACATGTGCCGCAATTACGAGGCATTTTGACGCCCCAGCAGCTCGTTGTCAAGATATCTGATTTTTTATTTGTTTTATTTTGATTCGACTTTTCGATTTCGGATTTTGGATTTTGTTCATGCTGTGCAGTTTAGCATTTTATGATTTTTTAATTTTATGTTGATGAAGCTCATTGCTTGCATATTTGATTAAAGTTTCGATGTTGTTGCTCGGCCCAAAGTGTTTGTGTCTGTTTTTTATCGTTTGTTATGGTGGCCACGATCTTTGTTTTCCTGAATCTTCCCAGCATAAAGCCGTATATGAATTTGCTTTGATATTTAGGCTTCCCCCTCGCAGCGTGTGTCATTTGTTACATTTTCGGCATTTGTGACATTATATATCACAGAGAGCATTGTGTTTTTACGGCCTCAAAGCTGTGCCCAGCTGGAAGCAACCTCAAATGAGGGGTATTTTTGTAAAAATTTAAGCATTAAAAAAATAAGGAAATTATAAATGAAAGAAGTCTAATGGAAATTGCAATATTCCCGGTAAGGTGTGAAATTCTTATCACCGCTTTTTTATGGTTTTCTCTGGCCCAGTTTAGTGACGCAAACTCTGTGACGTCTCAGGTCTCAATTATTGACAATTAATTTATGACCCTCAAGTCGCTATCAGACACCAAAAAATACCCATAAATTGGAAGAGCCAGCTCCATCGAAATTCTATATATCCAACCGATCCAAATCACGCCTCCATATCGAGCCCTATCGATAGCATCTGGGAAGCATGCACGCCCTTTGCCATATTTATGCTGATGCACTTTTCAGCCTCAAAAATGAAACAACAACGCCCATTCGAAACGAAAATTCCATTCACCATGACTAATAACTTAATTAGAAACTCGACTGAGGACGACGATATTTGGTTGTTAAAATCTTAATAACTTGCCGCAAAAATGCGACCCGATCGTAGCTTTTTATTGAGTGAAAAACAAACCCAAAAGCATTCGGCTTCGGGGCAATGGAGATCTCTCCCAAAAAGATCGAAGCCCATAAAAATTCCAATGCCTAAAATGCATTTGATGGCTTTTTTTTTTCTTTCTACTTGGAGTGTGAGTGGAAAACCCAAAATCTTGTTGTCTTAGCTGAACATTTAAAAATAAACATTTGGCTTTTCCAATCGGCGTAGAGGGATGGGGCTGACGAGCTTAACGAAGTCAGATGATTTTTGGGTAACTCTTTGGGTGACACCTTCAATGTCAAAGTCACTCGGAGTTCAACGATATTAAATCGAAGGTAATCTAATGATTTTATTTAGTAAGAAAGCCACAAATACCGCAACATTGTTACCGTTGCTCATCTTGACTTGGACTTGCACTTCCTGCTCGACTGCGAAATCAAGTAGGCAAATATGGCACAATGGCTGTGGATTGGATCGGAGTTAGCTTCATTTTCCGAAGGGGAACAGACACTGAGAGTGCACTTGAAGAAATTCATAGAATTCATAGAAGTCACTCTTGGAAACAAACCTGTACCTTCTTAATTCCAACTACAATTTCCTCTCAGTGCAGCATCGATTGTATGCACTCACAAGTGCAGGCCGCCCCGAGGGTGCTTATGCTCCCCTGAATGTACGTATATGTTCCTGAGTTTGTGTCACCAAACTAATGAAATCAATAAGCTAGGAACGAAGGCTGGCAGTCGGGCCGTGAATCACAAGAATAACAACAAAAGGGAGCTGGTCCGGGGCCAAGAGACAAGACAAGTGGCTGCCACCGGCGGCCAAAGGTGTGAAGCACAGAGTCACTCAAGCCCTCTGCTAGCCCCGGCTTCGGCTTATGAAATATGAGAGCCAAGAGCCAAGAGGCAAGAGCCAAGAGCTAAGAGCTAAGAGTTGGTAGCCCAGACCGAGTGAGACAGGCAAAAGCGACTTTTGCCAAGAATTTCTGTGCATAAATTTAATTACTGGCAGAGACGAGCTAACATAACATAGAGGGGGCCCACTGGAGAGGAGCCGGGACTGAACCCAGTCACCTATCAATCTAACTCGAGTGGCTTTTCTCCTCGTGTTGCCTTTTTTTCTGCTTTGGCTTTGGCTTTTCAAGTGCTTTACTTATTAGTGACTTTTGTGGCCAGCCTATACTCTCCCCCTGCACCCCATCTTGCATCCGATGGCTGCTTCTGCCCCTCCTGAAGTTCAATAGCCTGTCGAGGCCAGGGCAGCACGGATACAGATACAGATACAGATACAGATGCCCCGCTGCAGATACGGATTCAGATACATCAGTCAGTTAGTTTACAATTAGCGAAGAGAGAGAGCATGCGCACCTATGCACTTGGCTACTTGACTTTTCATGGCTTAATGCATTCGCCGACTATTTTGGGAAATTGTTTGGTTAGTTAGAAAGGGAAACTATAGCAGAAAATGTGGGGATATAGCCTGGAAAATATTGAAATTATAGAAACTGTAGTGAATTTTTAGTTAAGAAATAAGATATACTTAAGCCATCAAACTTAATCAGACACTAAACATAATCCACCTCAAATCCATTAAATTTCTGTCTACCCTCATATTGACTTGCTCTTATTTGATCCAAATATTTGACAACACTCGATCATTAACGAGACCTACGTTCATTAAGTAATATCCGCTTGAACACGTGTCTCGACCTAAGGTCAAAGTTCCACTCAGATGTACATTGTATCCCGATGATACATGATGATGTACGTACTATACAACCTCCTCCTAGCCCCTCGACCATCGTTACCTTCCGTTTTGGCACGCTTAATCATTTTGAGACTGCGAAAAGAGCTGTGTGTTTGCCTTTAATTAAAAATGTTTTTGCCCGCCAAATATTTACATCAATTAAAACCACTCGCCAAGCTGATTAACTAATGGAATTTATACGTATTTCCCTTTCTTACAGAAAATATAACGATATACGGCTACACGGATTATCTGAACAACAAATTCAAAATAGCACTGTACGCAAAAGAAACACAAAGGTATTTGTGTTTCAACGACAATTGGAGATTAGTTGGAATGGTGAGTACAGCATAAGGATTAAATAAAATTAAGTAATGGGAAAAGGAGGTGCTTTCCCGAAATATATATATGTAGAAAGAGTGTGAGAATCGCTAAGATGAAAGGGAATTTTTCAACACACACAATTTGTTTATAAGATTAAGTTTATGGCCTGGTCTTGGCTAAGCAAATTGCTCCGCAATAGCCATAATTATATGCTCGACAATATTTGCTCTGATAGATGCTGATATAGCCAAGGCCCAGGCGGTGCAGCTATATACATTTTTTTTTTTGATTGCATTGCATTCGTACTTGACAAAAGCCATAGCCAAGCGCCGCGATTTGTTTTGTTTTCCATATTATTTTTCTCTCTCTGCTTTTTATGCAAGCTAACTGTACAAACACTGTAATTTATGACATGTTCCACATAATGGTTTTATGCAAACGATCGTTTAGACGACAATAACAATATTATAGCGACTTGGCCAAATTGCAGCAGCAGAAAAGTGTGTGTGCAAACCTGTTGTTGCAGTTGCACCAAATCTGTCAGCACATAAAAACTATTTATTACAATATTTTTTTTCTTTTTATAATTTTTGTTATTTGGCAAAACAATTTCATATGCAATTATTCGCAGGAATTGGCACAGAGATTTTAAAGATACGTTTACGCGGCGTATGCGTGATATCGCTTGGAACTTTGTACGGCAACTGGGACGCTGTCTCTCTCGGGGATTCCTAAGAAACTGGGAATTAATTATTTTGAGACATTGTAACACTTTTTTCTATTAAGAGCAGCCAATGTCACCAAACACAGTGCTTAAGGTGAAGTGCAGCACTCGTTAAAATCACTGGAAAAGCAAACACACTTCCCCCATAGTTTATGATAGATTAACAAATAGTTATGTCCAATCAATCAGTCAGATGACAAGGCAATTAATTGCCGTTGTTATGTGGTAATGGCGAAAACATTTCAATGTCCTTTTCGCCACTCACAATACAGTTAGTTAAGTTAGTTGGCTATAACCGCAGTTGATCGCTGAGCAAACAATACAATAGAACCCCTAAGGTCAGAACCCGCGCACACTTGTCATTCTAGAGCCGCTTGGCTTTCGATTATTATGACCGCAAAATCCATGCTGGCTTATTGTGCAAATACACAAATACTGGCTGTGATTTACACACAGACACAGCAATACCTATATCTTGTGCCAGCAAGGTTAAGTCTATGTGTGAGCCGAGGTCGATCGTATTGATTTCTAGCCGCGATCCCTGCTCGAAATAGAACTCGATCCACTCACTCCTCGAGGGTCTAGAGAAGCTACTCTAAAATAAGCAATTATGAGCTATAAATATTCGGTCGAGGTGGAGAGCCAACATGGCTAAATATGGCACAAGTCTTAATTGCTTGGGAAATGTTTCATCTGCGTCGTTTGCAACACTTTGGCAACCAATCGCATGGCACGATCTGATCACTCAGATCGGACCGCTGATAGCACAAATGGTCAACACGGCAGCAAGACTTGGATAAAATGAGGTTGTGAGTTTCTGGGGGGATGCGTCCAAAAGATACCCTGGAGCTAATCGAAATGTAAAGCAAACTAAGTCTTTATTTCAAGTCTTTCCTTAATCAAAAGACAAGAACTGAGATGAGTAGAGCATACCTGAGGCCTTCGTTTCATCCCTAAGATGCTACAAATATATACTCCCCTCAAAGAACTCAAGATCTACAGGGTATGCCCAGATCCAAGTCAAAAGCCGCGTTTCATTCGGATGTCGGTCTCGGGATTTCAAGTGTTTTATAAATAAACAGAAGGCAGAATAAAGAATAAACGTTCACAACAATAATGTTGTTGCTGTCAAGCGATGGCACACTCTATACACTCTATATATATACCTGTATGTGGGAGCGGAAATGCCGCTCATAAATTGCAGGTGAAGTGAGCATCCTTTTGCCTAGGATACATAGAAAGTAGACCTTAAATAATGACTATATCTTTTTCTTAATTTCAGAGGGAACTGCGAGAAACCTGCTATTTCAAAGAGGCCCTCGTTCACGGTTATTTCGTGTTCAGTTCCCTTGTCGATGAGAAGCAACGTGTCGGGTTCACGCGCCGAGGTAAGCCTGTGGGTCCGAAGAAGAGCGTCAACGATGCCTGCTACATGTTCAATAAGATCGATGCCGAGGAGTTTTTCCGCCATCACCGGCTGCCCGAAAGGATGGTTAATACTAGCAACAGCAGCAGCAGCAGCAACAGTCGGAAGCCCCGCGCAACAACAAAAACAATCGCCACAAATCGAATAACCAAAATCAAAAGTTGCAACAGCAACAGGAGCATCATGGCCATAATAATAATAATAATAATAACGTTATTCTTAATAATAGTAGTACTAGTTTAAGTAGCATTAACAAAAAGCAATTAGCGATAAACAGGCAGAAGCAGCAGCAGCAACAGCAGCAGCAGCAGCGGCAACATCAGGTGCGGCATCATCACAATGATCCATCGCTGTTGCTGCGACGGCAGCAACATGAAATGAAGCAGAAGCGGCGCAAGCAGCAGAAGCAGCAACACCAGCAGCAGCAACATGAGCTGCAACAACAACGAGTTACAGCTAGTCCAACGAAGCACTTGGCTGCAACACCCACAGTCGCAGTTACTTCACCAACAACAACAGCAACCAAATTGTCAGCAACCACACTGAGCAGCAGGCGCAAGGGCAGACGAAGAAAGGGCAAGGCCAAGCCCAAAGCTCAGCAACAGCAGCAGCCACTCCTGGTCACAGCAGCAACATCTCCGTACACAGACGACGACTCTCTGTACAGCAGCAGCTTTAGCAGCACGGACTTCGAGGATCCGGACAACAGCAGCTCCAGCAGCTTGGATCCCTGGTCCTCCTGGTCCACCATCGATAGCTTTAGCAGCAGCAGCACAACGACAACATCTGATGACAGTATTAGCAGCAGCAGCAACTACGATGCCTGGGCCACCTTCATCAGCAACCAGGAGCTGGAGGCATCCTCCTCCTCCTCCACAACCCCGGAGATGATGATGATGATGGGCGGAAACGATACCGAGTTGCTGCAATACGAGCCCGAGTTGGTGGAGGATACGGATTTCGTCACCGATTCCGATACCGCTGCCTCGACAACATATGAAACCAAAGCAACATCAGCAATAGGGGCAACGGCGGCCACAACTACCTCGACAACGGGCTCCCAGCTGGTGTTAGAGCAGACGCCGCTGGCCAGAAGTAATGACACTGTAAGAAGCACCACCATTAGCAGCAGCAGCAGCACACGAGTCACGCCGACAGCCGCCACAACAGGTCAGACTGAAACTTCAAAGAGCAGCAGCAACTTGGGAAATCCCGGCGAGAATGAAGTGAAACCCCGCACTTTCCTCTGGACAACGCGAGCAACATTCATGCAACAGTCACCGCCCAGCAGCACGGCAGCCACATCCTCCACATCCACATCCACATCTACATCGTGGACGACTCCGCCACAACATGTTGCTCCCTCGCTGTTCAGCGTGGAGAAGAACATCAACAGCAACCTCCAGAACAACACTCTCACAGAGGCCTCGCCCACGACAGCCACAACGGTGGCAGCAGGTGGAGTAACCATGACGGCGCCAACGACTTTGAGGAAGCCGCATCGGATGTTCACCCGTCGACTGATGGCCACACCATTCCATCGGTTGGCCTATGTCCGGAATGCTGGTGGTGATGTGGACATCGATAATCTGGACAATATCAGTGTTTATCCCGTGGAGTACGACGGGGATCTGGATGGGAATGGCGGCGGCAGCGGCAATAGCTCCGATGGCGGCTTCTCTGGCTTTCTGGCCACCTCGACCACTTCCAAGCTGACGGAACCCATTCGCATTGGGATGAAGAAGATTCGGCAGAAGGGCACACTATCTGGCTTTGGTCATAGGAGAAATGCGTAGTAGTGTCAGAGATAGGGAACTTTGTCTATTGAAATCTGTTGGAGAGATTGATTTGGACTTCACATTCACAGAAACATTTTCAATAGGAATTTTAATAATAATAATCTTTGGTGATTTTAAAACACTTTCTAAATACAAAAATCAAAATATTATCAAGAACTAAACTCAATCAAACAGCTTAAGTCTGATGTTTTGATCAAAATATCTTAATCAGAATGCTAAACATAATTTAGAAACATTTCCGCAGAACAAGGTGTACTCTGTGAATGTGAAAACCCAAATGGATCCCCGAAAGAGACACTTACTCATACTCAGAACTCAGTTTTCAAAAGAATTTAAGCAAGCAGAAAACATGCAAAGAGCAAAAAGATAAATATTTCAAATTTATAATGAACTGATACATATATATATAAACACACACATATAGAACTCGATGTACAATGGAGTTGCTTACTGTTCAGTACCTCGACTCAGACAGGACTTTGCACTCGCACCGCGCCTAAAAGCACACTACGGAAGCGAAAGGGAAGCGGATGCGAAATCAGCACCGGAAGAGAGCCAGCGATAAACGATAACCCAGGCCGCACTTCAACTTCATCCAGCCGTGGAGCGGGTACAGTGAAGACTCTACCGCAGGCCGCAGGGACGGAACTCGCAGAACTGCTACATAGTTATAAATGAAAAGACAATAAGATTTTTATTTACGAGTATGTGCTATATAAAACTAACAAAAAAGAAACGAAGAACCGAAGCGATCAATAGCGATAGCAATAATCGATAACAAAAGAAAAATGCTAAAAAAAATTGTTGAAATGGAAATTAAGAAGGCGATTTTTCAAGTGCAAGCTAAATATTAAAACAAATACGTTTCGAATGCACTGAACAAAAGCGTAGTAAACTTTTGATTTACTTAACCAATTAAATTTATTAGCAATGAGAATTAATAAATACAAATGCAAACAAAATCGATATATATATATATTATATATACATATATGCATATATTTTCAAAATTTTATAATGAACCAAAAACAAAAACAAAACCAATTAGCAAACAAATTTAACAAATCGAACGGAGGACGAGTGGAGACGTTTTTTAAATTCATACGCAAGCAGAAACTAAGAGAGTCGGTAACGATAACGATAACAAATTCGCACAGCAAAACACTTCCAAAAAAAGGTTAAAACTAATTATTAAACAATTTTACTAGGCACAAGCGAACGAAATTGGACATGATGAGAAGGAAAAAACGAAAATTAAGAAAAACTCCATTCAAAATAAACCGAATTTTATAAGCAAATACAAAAAAGCAAAAAGAGGAGAAATGTTGTTGAGATTGTCAGCATGGAAAATTGATTTTAGGACACTGTTTGAGAGCAATATCCAATTCGATGAAGGTGGAAACAAATTTTGAATAATGGAACCTTTTAAAGAACTACTAACGTATGTATCCCGGTATGTACTGCAACAAAACACCAAAATTCACACTGAATAAGCAACGTTATATTTATTAATTGAAAGAAAACAAAAATTAAGAAATTAAAACTACAAATCGAATCAAAAGAAAACAAAACAAACCAACTGCTGCTTTTCTACATACCAATATATATATATATACATATATATATATAGACACATATGGGCATGAAAAGGATATGCAAAAATTGTTTCTCATATATTTATATTAATATTTAAAATAAATAGTTCAAACATATTAGCAAACCAAATATGCGAAATTAAAACAAATTGATGGAAAAACGAAAAAACAAACACAGACAACTGAAGCGTCAAGTTTATATGTAGAAATATGTATGAATGTAAATTTAAAGTGAACAAAGATAAACCCAAACAAAGCAAAACATAAGAAAAGAAGAAAAAAAGAACAAGTTAAAGCGAGATGCTTAGGTGAAAATTTAATTAGTGTGTACTTAAGACAAGAAACCATTTAACAATTGAACGATTAATTATTAACTTAACTAGGCATTGAAGCAGCACTCAAACTAAATAAAAGCCGAAACCGATACCGATACCGATACCGATAGCGGAGACCGATACCGGAAACCGGAAACGAAACCGAAACGAAATGAACTACTGTACTTATACATATGCGCGTTGCTGTAATATAAACAAAATTCTTATGTTGAATCGAAGCGGCGATTGGGGGCGAATTATCGTTGAATCGATGACTATATCTACCAACACAGCAGAAACTATTTATTTAAACCTAAACAAAAAAATATATATATCGGAGCGGGGACCGATTGTCATTTGTCATTTGTAAATTCATTTGCACTTTTCTTTCTCTACTAATTACGTTTAATTAATGGATTAATCATACGCCTAAGTTAACCCACTTTTACCATTGTAAATTGTAATATGTTTTATTTGTAAGCCGAGCATTAAATGTAATTATTTATGTATAAACGCAAAATACACTCTCTTTCGCCATCCTCTCTCTCCTCAAGTCTGTCTCCCCCTCTCTCTCTATCTCTATTAATCTCTATCTTATATATACGAATATATAAACGACTATTTAATTGCATTTCTTTGTATTAAAACGAGTAACAACAAAAAAAAAACACTAGAAATTGAATAAAAAGCCTCAACAAAAAAAAATATTAAACACTTTTCATTTCTTTTATTAGTTTGGCTTGATTTAAAATTTAACAAAAAAATATATGTTCAGTTGTTTCTTAATTTCTTTTTTTTTGTTGGATTACGAAATGTGTGCAGAGAAATCGTATAAATAAAAAAATATATATAAATTCAATAAGATGTTATTTTTTATGGAAAGTAGGTATGTGAGTCTTAGCTTTACAAATTTAAAAGGTAACTTTATTTAATCTTTCCCTTTAAGCAAATTTATAAACTGTAAAGTAAGCCCTAAAAAGGTAAGGCCTGAATATTATTAATATTAATATTTTAAGGATTTCCATTTTCCCTTCTGCATACAGATCAATAGATCACAGTCATTAGCCTGGACATCATCTCGGATTTCGCAGAATATCAATTGCACATTCCTGGTCATTCTTGGGAGTATCATGTAAGCCCAAGTTAGGTGGTCTCCTTAGAGTTTCTGCTCCATTCCCTGGTGACAAATGTTCGCCCAGGCCAGGCGACAATGTAAGGGATTCGACCACCGACGCAGAGCAGACTCCTCCTCCTCATCTTGGGCCTCGTCTTCATCCTGCAGCGGATGACAAATCACATGTGCTGACATTTGACATCGTTGCTGGTGGGGGATTAACATGTTATTGCCAAGGGGATCCTACACTCCACTCTACTCTAGACTCCTTGGACTCCTTGGGGCAGTAAAAGTGTTGGCCATCGCCCAAGGCAAACACAGTTATTATGCGTTTGCCGATGGGACCTGCTTCTGCCACACCGAACTCCTCCTTGCCATGTTGCCAGCAGACCGTGGACAGACCACACAAGTGGCCAAGTGGCTACTGCTTTGCATAAATGGCCCAGACCTGGTCCACCGGGTCCACCAGCAGCTCGTCCTCTGTGGCTTGTTTAATTAAAAAATTAAGCTCCGAATCGGCAGGCCCATTAAGGAGATTTTTATTTATACCTTTTAATTTCATCAATCGTTGCGACGGCAGGTGCCGTCCATATCCATGACCACATCCATATAGCCATATCCATATCCATATCTATATCCATGTTGCAGGGCCCATGGCACCTGCCCTGCCTCTTCTCGCCCTTCCCCCATTGGTGTAGTTTGTTTTCTTGCCTTCGCCTCTTTTTAGCTTTTAACAGGAAACAATTTCATTTGCGAGCAAAAATTCTTTTCAAATCTGCCGCCGTTAAGCAAAAAGAAAACATGTCAAGAAATAATAATAAAAACATGAAAGGAAGGAAGCTTTGGAAGAGCCGAAGTTTGTATACTCTTGCAGTTTTTAATTAAACTAAAGGATCGTATCAGAAATCGGTTATAAATAAGCTTTTAATCGCTATTTACATTACTTTATGAAAATTTCCTTAATAAATCAAAGTTTAGAAAACCTTCACTTGTACCTTAAAGATACAAACAACTCTTTTCTCGTTTAATTTAATTTTCCTTTATTAAGCAGTGTAATTCCTTGTGGCAGTGTATCCCCGTTTCGTCTTGTTCATGCCACAATTTGTCCACCAACTTGATTTCCTTTTTGGCCAGAACGTTTTGTTGACCGTTCGCTCGTTCGCCTTTTGGCCAGCCCGAAAGCCTTTTGCCTTTGGCTCAGTTTTGGTTTATGAATGTCGCCATGTTGTGCGAGTGTGTGTGGATCATGGCGGTGCATTCCACACACACACACACACACACACGCACACCCAGGGGGAGCGACAGGATGAAACTGTTGCCTGCATACGGCATGCATATTTCGTATTTTAGTACGGCCATTTAACATCATCAACTTAAATATGCGTGCAAGATTTATGCACACGTCGCGTCGCCCCTTCGGCCGAAAAGGGGCGGCTGTCTGGCCCAAGGAGGGGCGTGGTCTTGGCCCCATCCAGCACTGGAATGGAATGAAATGGGCATAAAGAGAGCCCCATCGAACCAGCGGCCAAACAAACGACGACGAAAACGTGATACTACCAATGCCGATATATATATCACATTTCAAAGCGAACCTGGCCTCCAGGCAAACCCAGTGAAAACAAGAGAAGAGTATGAGTTGTGTTATATATAATAAAAATTCCATTTATTGATTAATTGAAATAATTAAATTGCTAATTAACAACAATTATTATGATTTTCTATAACTAGTTAAATATGTATTCTCGATCAGCATCAATAGGGGACTCTACCTGGCATGACGCTTCCGACGCGCCAACTTGGAACCAAATTGGAGAGGTGGCACCGGATGATAACTAGGAGGTGATGAGTCCGTACCCCAACTGGAAGAAGCAGCCGGTGGTGGACCCGGCGACACCGACAACGTAGAGGTGGTCCAGCTTAGGAAAAGATCAGCATCTCGTACTGATTGAGAGACTTCTCCGAGCAGAGCTGTAGCTAAGAGGAGCCGTCCTGGTAGTCCTCTTGGCGAGAGGTCCATCGCTGCTGGTCAGGTTATTCAATGCATTCTCTGCAATAGGATTGGGATTTGATTTGTTGACAAAAATATCATATAAAGATATCGGACTCAAGGAAATCGACTATTTTTACCTTAGTTATGATCGATTTTCGATCCGATCCTATTATTCATTTGCAAACTGCAAGATTATATAAGCTTTGGCCTCCCCGAGTAAGTTTCCCTTTTCGTTTTGTATTACTTCAAGAAATAACCACACCAGAATCGCTACAAGAACTCTATCTTAAGCTGCAAAATCTATTTTAAATCTTAATCCCAACATTAAGTCTTAATCCCAACTAAAATCACTTCTTGTAAGCCTCAGTTAATTAATTTGGCGTATAATCCAGGCCTTTTCGTGTGCAGTTAATTAGGCACACGCCAAAACGAAGCCGAGTGCGTCTGTTAATGAATCTTGAAATCAAAATCTTCATGTTGCCATTGACAAGTACAAATAAATGGAAATCGTTAAGACCAGCCGGCGAGCCAGCTAGCCAACTAGCCAACCTGCCAACCGGTTGGCACTGGGCTAAAACTATAGCTAAGCGCTAAGCGTAAGACAAATTTAGTTGCTGATTCGGGGCTATTTACTCCGATCTCGAACTCTCCGATCCGGTGGCCCGATCCTACATATATGTGCCCGTGCCTGTGCGTAATTAGCCGCGGCATCGTCGATTTATCATCGGAATGCCCCCGCCACCTGGCGCCACTTGCTATTTTTATATATCTTTTTTATTATTCAGTTTCATACGGTTTTAGGCTTTCGGCTGCACTGGCGCAGCAGGTGAAGATGTTTACCCAGTTACCCACTATTCGGATTTGGATCCGAGCTCTCGTTATATTGCGCAAAGTGTCCGCCGACAGAAATCAATAAAGTATTTCTCGGCAGAGAGGCTT